CCGTGACCAAACGCTTCTTTAGTTCCTGAAACTCTTCTCGCACCCATCGCTCCAAGCGAATGTGGCATTCTTACAGGTCAACTGAGTCAAGGGCACCGCCAACCGGGAGAAATCTTGGACGAACCTCCTGTAATAGCCAGCTAGCCCGAGAAAACTGCAGATTTCGGTCATTGTGCGAGGCCTTGGCCAACCACTGACCGCCTCCACTTTGGCCGGGTCCACGGCAATACCCTCCCTGGTGACTATGTGGCCAAGGAAGGCCACCTTATCCAACCAAAACTCGCATTTTGAGAACTTCGCAAACAAACTATTCCCCCTCAAGGCGGTAAGGACCCGTCGCAGATGTCCTTCGTGCTGTTCTTCTGTCTTGGAGTAAATTAAAATATCGTCGATAAATACAATCACGAACAGATCCAAAAATTCCTTAAAAACCCGATTCATGAGATCGATGAACGCCGCAGGGGCATTAGTGAGCCGGAAAGACATTACAGTAAACTCAAAATGCCCATACCTGGTCTTGAAGGTTATCTTTGGTATGTCGGCGTCCTTAATTCTCAACTGGTGGTACCCCAATCGTAGGTCTATCTTCGAGAACACCATCGCTCCTTTTATTTGGTCAAAGAAGTCGTCGATGCGAGGAAGGGGGTATCTATTCTTCGTTGTCATCTTGTTCAACTCTCGGTAATCGACGCAAAGTTGCATAGATCCGTCCTTCTTTTTCACAAAAAGCACTGGAGCACCCCAAGGAGACACACTCGGGCAAATGAAGCCCTTGTCTTCTAGCTGAGCCTTGAGCTCCTTAGGTTTCGCTGGAGCCATGCGGTACGGTGCCTTCGAGATAGGGGCTGTCTCGGGCAATAAATCGATGCAAAAGTCCAGTTCACGGACAGGAGGTAACCCCGGGAGGTCCTCAGGGAACACATCTGGAAACTCTTTGACCACGTGGACGGAGTCGATGCTGGGTGGAGTCACACTAATGTCGACGACACTGGCCAGATATCCCCAGGCACCATTCTATAAAAGGCGTCTTGCCTTCAACGCTGAGACTGCCCTTGGAACTCCACCCGAAATCCCTTTGAACGTAAAGCTCAGACCCGAAGATAGTTTGGAAAGAGACTTCCCTCTTCGAGCAATTAACGTTGGCTTGGTTGGTAGCTAGCCAATCCATGCCCAAAATGACGTCAAAATCCCGCATGTCCAGTTGAATCAACCGTGCCTCTAGGGTCTGATTGTCAAAAGATAACTCATCTGCTCTCACCATTTGATTAGCAATCAAAACCGACCCCGAAGGTGTAGAAACTGACAGCAGAAACCCTAACGGCTCTAGTTCGAGGGTTGTCTGACGAACAAACGCAGTAGAGATGAAGGTGTGACTCAATCCCGAGTCAAACAATACATAAGCAGGCACATTATGGACTAAGACCGTACTTGGGAGATAATGCAAAGGTAAAGACATAAACCCCGCACGCAATACCCCAATAAAACAAAAGAAAAACCCAAGGGAGAAAGGAGTACCTGTGACAACAGTTTCGGCATCTGCCGCTTCCTTGCGAGTAAGTGCGAAGACACGAGCCCTGTAATTACCTCCCTACGTCGAAACTGTTGGGGGAGCCCTCTGCCCTAGCCTCTGAGTATTCACGGCCGTCATAGAACATTCCCTTGCAAAATGCCCTTCCCTTCTACACCTGAAACAACCCCCAGTTCCCGTCCAACATTGCCCCGCATTTCTTTTCTGGCAGGAGGGGCACACTGGTGGCAGACCCTGCTGCTGAGCCGGGCGCTGGGGTGCTCTAAATGGCTGGTCGGCGTACGCTGGAGAGACCTTCCTTTTCACACCTGAAGATGATCCGACTTCCACCAGAGGTTGGACCCTGTTGGAGACATCCTTATCCATGATCAAGGCGCCCCTAACTGCTTCAGCGTAGGTGGCGGGTCGCTGAAGGTCCACTGGTCCCCTTATTCTCTTGCGTAAGCCCTTAACAAACCTCTTGATCTTCATTGCTTCAGTGGGAATTAATTCCCGAGCAAAACGAGAGAGCTCCGTAAACTTCCTTTCATACTGTGCTACCGTTAAGGTTCCTTGGTTGAGATGGAGGAATTCTGCCTCTTTCATATCTTTCACGGTCTCCGGGTAATAGTAGTCGTACAACAAGTCCTTGAACCTTGCCCACGTAACTGGTACGTTAGCATGATCTTCAGCCGCTGCTACTGAGTCCCACCAATTCAGAGCCTCGTCCCTCAACATAAAGACCGCACCCTTAACCTTGAATTGGTCATCGCAACCTAGGTACACGTAAAGGGCTTCCAACTCCCTGACCCACTCTTCTGCTGCTGTCGCTTTCTCGCTTCCCCCGTCAAAGGTAGGGGTCCGTAACGCTTGAAATCCTTGATGAATTGAGCCTCGCTCTGGGGAGTATGAAAGTGTCGAGGTGGCTGAGTTTGTGCATCGCCAACCCGTGCTGTGTTATTGACCAGTGCCTGCAATGCTTCTACCAGCAACGCCAACTGTGGGTTTCCCTGGGTAACTGCCGGGGGAACTTGGGGATTTTCCCGCTCCTGATCTGCTGCTGGAGGAATTGGAAGAACTACCCCTGTCTGAACACCATAAGGAGGGGGTGGCGGGTCCGCCACATTCTCACCTCCGGGAGCTGGGTCGACGCCTGCACGCAGCTTCGTACTACGACGGGGTGGCATTGTCTGGATGAAAGAGCACAACAATCAAGCACGACGTTAGCACGTTACTCTACGAAAAGACCAACAGTAGAATGGCAGTCGAAACTCCCACATAAGAGCAAGGTCAGCTACATTTTAGTTAGTATATTCAGTGGCCGCACTAGGCCTAATGAAACTGAGCTGCAACTTGAACTGATGCGAAAAGAATTAAGCGCAAAGGCAATTCATGGGGAAAGTATAAGTTCACGAGAGCAAGCATGAGGCGTACCTGGTGATGACAAGGAGGTCGATCGGGATCACTACTCTTAAGTACCCTAGTTACTAGGTCAGTCTACAGGAACGTTTCGGCTCTGATACCATCTGTAATGCCCCAGGCCCAAGATTCGGAATCCGATTTCTGCACCTCTCTACCCCGGCATTCCCCTACGACCTGGCTGCGCCACCGTCAAGTTCTAAGCCACTTAGAAGAGCATAGACTGCCCCTACAGACCAACATGAGTCCTTCCAGCATGCTTTGTCCTCACTCACATGCTTCCTAGTAAAGCAACTAGCAGGTCACCCAACTTAAGATTGCTCCAAGCCAAGCAAGCTTAACTTTGGAGTTCTTACGATTGAGCCACCGAAAAGGAAGGTGCACCTTGTTTGTATAGGTAGTGACTATCAATTCTTTTTAACCCTTTATTGACCATTC